CTAATAAAGGAACTGAACTGTACTGGATTGCCTCATGGCTGTTCTTGGGCTGAACCTGACATCAATCTTGTTTAATGATGGAGAATCAACTTGTGGGACATTATTTGAAAGGATTAAAGATTAAGCTTTTTAAAAGTAAACAGAAGGTTTATGAAGTGAACTTATTCAATTATGGTTAATATATATTGCTGAGGTTTTTTGGTTATTATTAATGGGAATTTCTTTTGACCAGGACTGAATGATAAGGTTTTAATGATCTATGTATAAGGATTAAGGTTAAAAAATATTTGTTATTAAATTTAAGGAATTTTTGTTTTTGTATATATGATAACAGCAGTAATGACCTTATATGTATAAGGGTAAAAAGATAGGACACTATGCAGTCGGTTGAGATGGCAAAACTGATGGCTTTGATTCGAGAAAATATATTATGTAATTTTAATGCAAATTGGAAACCTTTTTTTTGGATTTTTTGTGGGAAACAGAAAAAAAATGAAATCATGTTATATGGATTTGATGATTAGAAATAACATGGGTTAATAGAAATAATGGGACTTAAGTTGTAAACTTAGAACAAGAGTTTGATGTATATTGTTACTTATATCTGTTGCAAGGAGGGTTAGAGGGTTTTTTTTCCTTTTGTTGTTTCTCTCTTTTTCTTTTCTGCACTTTTGATCTTTACTATCTTCTTTTTTCAATTTTCTTTTTCTTATTCTTTTTCTTAATATTAGTTTGTGTTAGTTTTTACTGTTTCTTATTAAAAATGTAATAGTTGTTATTTAAAAAAAAAAGAATTACAGCTTCTCTTTAGGCTTGTCTAGTTTCTGCATGATAAAAGGTGACCCAAAAATGAATCATCTTTGTGTGCAAAGATAAAGTCTCCTACAAGTCAAATTTTGCTCCTGGTCTCTTCATAGACATTCCATGGATTGTTTTTTGTTTGTTTTTGGCAACAATGGTTTGCAATTACACTGAATGTTGCCTGTGTACTCTGGACAGTTTTCTGCATCAATTGCATTTTTCCATCAGTCACCACAAATCCAAGTGTAACCTCACTGGAATATTAGTCAGAATGTACCACATAATAGAAGGCAATGATTCCAAGAGGCTAGTCTGGAAATTGAAATATCAATTTATTTATTTATTTATTTTATTTATTAAATTTCTCACCCACCCATCTGCCCCCTCTGGGCGACTCACACCGAACATCAAAAACATATATATACACACACATAAAACATCAATTTAAAAACATTTCTAAAATCTAATTTCTAAGAGGATGATGTACATTACTTGTACACAAATCTCATGAAATTTTATAAAACTAATCTCTATGCAGATTTTTGATGCTCACAGCTTTGTAAAAGTCATCTTTCTGAGTTACAATTTAATTTTGAGTTTTCCGATAAGAACTCGGTTTGATAGGGAATCACTGAATGGCAAACTCTGGATCAAAAACTGTCTAAGGAAAGCTTGTAATTGTTGGTCATTTCTGTGGCTATTAGGTTCTATGATGCTCTCTTAGTATTTCTTGCACTAATGACATGGTGATATAGTAATGTTTATTATAATAGCTTTTTTATCTGTGAATCTCTAAAAGGTTGCAAACATGAGCACATTTACTGTTCCATTACAAAACCTAGAATGTTATTCCCCAAAGAGTAACTTAGAGCTAATTTTCCAAAACCACCAAAAACTGCATCTCTGTTGTTGTACTTCAGCAGTTTCCAAGCAACAAGTGATGTGGTGTCCTTATCTAGTTAATTTTTAAATCAATAAAACTGAATTTACAGAAATGTATCATTAATCTGTTGTATCAGATTTGCTCTCTCAATTTAGATATAGGATAAGGAGATATAGGCAGTAGACAGTCAGTAAAAACTAGTTGTCTTAATTTCTAAAACCAGCAAGCAAGCAAACCTTATATTTAATTTTATAAGGATCAGAGAGTATCAGTTCACCACACTTTCCTTGTAGATTAAGGAAATACCATAGTGAGGCTTACAAACTAAATTCTTACCTGGTCCATCTATAAATCAAGACTCCTTATAATACTTCTGTCCTTATTTCAGTAAAAAAAAAAAAAATACTTCAGATGGTGAAACAGAACACGCGATAAATGTTTGATAATCAGTTTAATTTGTAGACCAGATTCCACGGCTGAAACCATGTGTGCACCTTTTTGTAAACAGAATAGATAAACAAATGTCAAGGAAATATCAAGTCAGATTGTAAATTCACAGAGGAAGCAATGACCTCCATGTATTTTCTTCCATTAACAATTGTGGTTTGTCCTTACAGTGCTGTCTTTGTCATTCCAGGCCTTCAGGTGGTGTTAAATTCCATTATCAAGGCCATGGTCCCATTGCTGCACATTGCCCTGCTGGTGCTGTTTGTCATAATTATCTATGCCATCATTGGGCTGGAGCTCTTCATGGGAAAGATGCACAAGACCTGCTACATAACAGGGATTGCCACAGGTAAATGATGTACTGAACTGGCCTGCATTTTGTAGTAGCACTTAATGTATATGGAAAACAGGTATAACGTGTAACGGTGCCTTGCAAATATGATGGTCAGCTAACATTTAACTTTACTTACCCTGGTTTGACCTCTCTGAACTCAGGGAGAAACTTCCTAGAAAGAAGGGATCTTCTGTGGCAGTGCCCAAGGTATGGAACCTTCTCCCAAATATTTACCAGATAGCATTGTAGTTATCTTTTAAACAGAAGTTGGATGATCCTTTTCTGTTATATTTTTAAAAAGTAAAGATTCTTGAAACAAGATTTTTAGTAGGGGTATATGGATGTTTGAAGGGAATTTGCCTGAATCTCTGAATCAAATCCGATTTCTGAATTGGCAAGTCAGGTGAAATTTTTAATGAATTGGAGGCCTCTGAATGAATGTGGATTACGTCTGTACACATTTAGAAGCTTCCCTACCCATCCCCCAAATCAATGTGGAAATTGAAATTGGAAATTGAATGTGGATTGGATTGCAGATTCAAGCTGGATTTTGCCTAATTTGCATACCACTAGTTTTTAGCAATTACATTTTCCTTGTTTATCTTGCTGTTTCTCTGCTGGTGTTCTATTCTAATTTATTATACTCATTATTTATATTTTAATTTGAGGTTTATTTGTAAGCCACTGTTGTGAATATTGCCTTTGGACAGGCTCAGCAATTCAGAGACATTCAGACATTCCTAATGCATATCCAGAGGGAGAAAGAGATGTTCTTTGTCAAGTGCATGCACAATTAGAGTACCCCAACCCCACCCACCTTTGAGGAGATAGGCAAGTTATTGTTTTTTTAAAAAAACAAAGCAGAAGTTGCTGGACTGAGGCTGAGAAAATGGAGGACTACATAATGCTTCAGAGCCCCATAAATGCCAGGAAAAAAGGGAAATCCAATAAAAGGAAGTCATCATCAATCAATCAAAACCTTCAACCTATTAGCTTGTTTCTTTTTCTGTGTGTTACTAAGTTAAATCTCATGTTCTTATTTCTTCATACAAACTAGAAAGTTGAATGTGTAGCCTCTATCTTTGCATTCCATTGGCAGGAAAATGTTAATTTTATTTCTGATCTTCTGATGGTCTGTATATTAAGTTGTATCATCTCCTTCTCATATAGAAAAAGCATTAGTTTATAGCTGACCACCACCATCTTGTGGTCAGCCTGGAACAATGTGTTTTCTTTTGTAATTTTGGGGGAGGGGGTTATAATTTATCTTTTCTTTTTTAAACAAAGTTTGATTTTGTTTATTTCTGATGTAATCTATTTCCTGAGCAGGGAAGGAGGGGTTAAAACATCTGATCACATGCCTCAATGCAGCATAGCCAGGAGAATTATAATATAATTATAGAGAACAGAGAATTATAATATAATTATAGAAATTGTTGTTTTTTTAACCCACTGGAGTTAGGAAGAAGGCACAAGGTGAGAGGCCTCTTGGAAGATAGGAAGTGGCAGCAGGAACTATCAACCCTTTAACCAAAAGCAGAAATCAGGGCCAGGGGTTGAAGACCCAGAGGGATTCTGGGAAAGGGGGGTTGAGACCTCCAGTATTCCCCCCTACAGGCTCAGCTATTCCATCACTACCCCCTTATAGACTTTTGTTTATAAATGTTAAGGCAAGGAGAAATGTTTCTAAATAAAATGGAATGTGTGCAAGCTTTACCAGAGCATAGACTCTTTGTTGTACACAGGTGATCATTGCTCGACAAATGAATTCTGAGCTACAGTATAATTTAGTATAATAAAGAAATGCAGGGCGTGCAATAATGGCCAGTTTGTTTCCAGAGGGTTATGGGGCCAGGTCTGCATGGTTTATGGAAGCTGCTCACCTTGTCATGGAAACAGTCTGCCATGTGGAAAATTAAAATTCTTTGAACAGGAAGAAACTAAATGTGAGCTTAGCAGTAGCATGAAAGATGGAGAGGAATGTTTCAGACGACCCATTTGGCCCAAGTAAAAGAATGGCTGCTAGCAGATGCATTCTAGTCCACCCTCAGCCATGGGAACTTAGTGGGTGGCTTGAGCCACTCACAATCCCTCAGCCCGACCTACCTCACAAGGTGGTTGTTATGGGGTAAAACAGGAGGGGGTAGTGCTATGAATGCCACCTTGAGTTCCTGAAGAGAAGGCAGGAGATAAGTCTAATGGTCAAGGAAACAAAAATTTAGAGTACCAAATCTTAGAAAGTGCCAATTATTCATTTCCTTATAGGTTTCCTTCCGAGGTATTGGTTTCATAGGCTGTTGCCTTCTTTCCCACTTGCTTTGTCACAAGAATACATGTCCCACTGAGTTTAAGGTCTTAGGCATCTAATGGCCGTGTGTGTTTGTTTTTGCTTGCTAGTGTAACAATAGTTGAGGCTAGTTTATTGGAGAAGGCTGAAATGCTTCCATGTACCCTCCTGCGGTCTAACAAGGTGACAGCGGTCATAAGCATAATGTGTAAATTGAAAAGTTAAAGGAGAATGACGGAGCATGACATAAATGGCATTGAAGATGCCACTTTACAATTTCTTCACCATAGCCTGTTCCGTATCCATTTTACTTCCATGTTTTGTTCACTAGTTTGCAACACGATTGTTTCTTTATTCATGCCCTTTTTTATGGCTGCCATAATTTCTTTTCTAAGCTTTCATTCTTTGGAGTGCATGTAAAGGGAAGGAAAAGCAGCTTAAATGGAACGTAATGTCATGAATCAAGGAGTAACATTAACCAAGCAATAATACAGAACATAAGGTGGATTGCATTGCTCTTCGGGAGGTTTTAGGTGCCTTTTAGAGAATCTCTGAATGAATATCTGGAGGCTGGGAAAGATGGAGCAGGCAGAACATTCCATTAGAGTGGAATAAAAGATGCTGTCTGATGTGAGACAGGTATGCAGGTAGCGTATGACGCTGCTAAGAAGTGTTTTTCTCCATGCAGAGTAATTCTTACAGTATTAAAGGACTTAATGATGCGGAGAAAATTGCATATTTTATATCTTTGTTTATTGAACACAAGAATATACCAGCCTTCATCCTGTTTGAAGCAGCCAGTAAGGAGTCAGGGAAGCATATAAGATAAATTGGGGAAATGTTTGCCAGTCTCTTCATTAAGGCAGACAGACAGACGTCTCAGATTCATAATAGCAGTTTGAAGCACATAAGCTGTTATGGTTAGAAAGCCTAACATCATGTAAGCTTGGGAAATCCTGATGTTCAAGCATTGAGGAAGGAAAAGGTTTTCCTGTTTATTTGTTTGTTTGCAGCCAAAAGGCCCGCAAGCAAGTTACAAATAACATCCATACTTGATATTAGATAAAACAATTTAACAGAAAATATTTAATAAATATTACATAATACACTTAAAAGCCCAACTCACTGATTTGTTACTCAAAACTTTGTTTTTATAGCCATGGTTAAAAATCTGGCTGTTGCTACTGTAATCTCAGGATTTTCACCTGCAAGTAAAATTTTAACATGCTCAGAAGTGTCCCTTCCTGGTTTAGACTTTAAAACAGGCCAGATAACTTCCTGCCGAAGACTCTTATAAAATTCCCAATGCAATAAAATATGATCCACTGTTTCAGGATCAGTACCGTTACAGGGACGAAATCTTTGAGAGATGGGAATTTTGAAATCTACCATATAGCGTATTTGATGGCAATACATTTGATTTGGCTTTTGAAAAAGCAATTCTGTATTTACTTAAATACAAGTTATCCAAATATTTAGGGAGTTGAAAAATACATCTGTAATTAATGCTTTTTTAATGCTTTTGAAGAAAACCATCTTTTAAACAGTAAAATAGTAGCAAAAACAGAATCTCCTGTCTTTCATATCCATAGGAGTCTGCTTTGTTTGTTCAGACACGGTTCAAAACAGACTCAAAACTCTTAGCTTCTGCATGAAAAATAGTATTTTTCATGAGATGAACCACTACCACTGGCAGTTAAGGTCTGAAGTTCATCGTAGGCCACAACAAAAGGACTTTGGTTTTGTCATTAGCTTATTGGTCTGGATTCAAACTGGCAACATAAAAAGCAACAACTGTCATATTCTACTATTACTGCAGTTACTGTTGAAAATGTTAGCAATGTTTGTTTGTTTGTTATATTTATATCTTAGAGTACTCTACATAGACTCCTGATGGTTTACATTCATAAAATACGGACATATAAAATAGCTTAAGCCAATGAGTAAAATAATTCTAGCATAAAAATGCAGCACAAAAATACCATAATAACTATCAAGAAATAAAAATACAGATGGTGACTATTCCTTAGTACCCCAACACCCTCCATAATCATTCCATTATGGTGAGGTCATTAATCTGGCCTTGAAGCAGAGAGAGCTGCTACCCAAAACCATAGTCTGTGGGGCCCTGCCCTCCTCACTTCATGAAACTGGGGGGCCACTAAAGATTTTGCCAGGGTCCATACACTGGGGGGAGGGGTCAGATGGTTTGCTTCTATGTGGAAAAGGTAATTCTGCCAGTCCCCAGGATCCAAATCGCATAGGACTTACTAGGTTAAAACCAGCACTTTGCATTGCACCAGGAAACCTACTAGCATCCCCAATACAGGTGTTATACTATAACTGTGCAACTCCCATTCAGTAATAAGGGGGCTGCTGCATTTTGGACCAACTGAAGTTTCCAAGGGGTCTTCCAAGGTGATCCCACATGCAGCTTATTGCAGGAATCTAATTGGGTGGTGATAAGACCATGAATAACCCACGGATGTCCACAGGGTATGGTTTTAAAAAAGGCAAGTTGGTGGCTGTGATGATGGGATCAAAGTTCTGCCTGGTTTTTTTTATGTGCATTGCATGTGCAAAGCACATAAAATATGGGTGAAACCTCAATCCCACCATCACATCTGCCATCTTGACTTTTTTTTTTTTTATCATACCCTGTGGATACCTTCAGTCCCCATTTCCTGTATATAGTGTGTGTAGCCTGGAAGAGATGTTTGTAATTTGGCTGACTTTGTGGTTTGGAGCACAGATGCACCTGCCTTGCTTAACTTCAACTTCTGTGTATTTTGTGATCCTTTTACTCCACAGAGGGAAGGATTGCAACTGAGGGATATGTTGGTGTTAGTATTGCAAAAAGACAAAGTAAATTAATTGGATCTTCTATTTTTAACAGCCCCCGCCCACACAGAGACTTATGTATCTCTCTTTCCTTCCACTCTGACCTTTCCCTATTCCCAGATGACCTAGCCATGTTGGCTTTGTGGGAATCACATCGCTGTGTGAGACAATGCAATATTACTTTGAAGCAACCCAAAATGAACCAGAGCTACATGACTGGGGCAGGCACTGTCAACATTTTGCTATTTCTCCAATAGCAATATTGGAGAAAGACCAATATCAGGAGAAAGAGAGGGAGAAGGAGACTGAAATGGAGAAGGGGAAGGAAAAAAGGAAAAGAAGAGTGCAGTTGAAGTGACTGATGCATTTAGATTTTAATAATACCAAAAGGCTCCACAGGGCTTTCCAATCATAGTGTTTTGAAGAAGTCCTTTACCTAGAGCAGATGGTGCCATAGTAAAATAAAAAAAGAGGGTATCGAAATGCCCATTATAAAGTATTAATTCATTCCAAATGGCCAGAAGAGATAATTAGGAGACTTTAGAGATCATCTCCAAAGCAAATAGTTTATTAAAATGAAGTCTTTTCAGCAAATGACATTTAATTCTGTCCAAAATGAACAAAAGAAGTTCCAGTTCCTGTTTTGTAATTTGGCAGGATTCTTACCAAGACTACCTTTATGGCTTTGTGTGGTTTTCATCAGCATTCCCCATCAAACAAAAAAGAAGAAGAATGGTTTTCTTTTAATCATGCCAACATTTTAAAGAGCCCTTCTACACACACACACACACACAACACCCTCAATCTGCCTGTTTACAAATGCAGAATTGCCTCAGTTTTGTGA